TGTACACTGAACGCATTCCTGAGGGAGGGGTAAATGAGGGGATAACATGAAGAATTCTTAAAGAAATTAGGGCCGTGTCTGCCTCTGGTGTAAACGATTGCGACAACCAGCACCAACATAGAGCTCAATTGGCATTTGCCATTGAACACCAGAATTGGCAGGTCCACCACTGGCGCCCTGTGCTTTTCAAAGATGAGAGCAGGTTCACCCTGAGCACATATGACAGACGTAGAAGGGTCTGGAGAAGCCATGGAGAATGTTATGCTGCCTGTAACATTGTTCAGCATGACTATTTTGGTGGTCGGTCATTGATGGTCTTGGGAGGCATATCCATGGAGGGACACACAGACCTCTACAGGCTAGACAATGGCACCCTGACTGCCATTAGGTATCGGGATGAAATCCTTGTACCCATTGTCAGACCCTACACTGGTGCAGTGGGTCCTGGGTTCCTCCTGGTGCATGATAATGCCCGGCCTTATGTGGTGAGAGTATGCAGGCAGTTCCTGGAGGATGAAAGAATTGATACCATTGAATGGCCCCCACGCTCACCTGACCTAAATCCAATAGAACACCTCTGGGATATCATGTTTTGGTCCATCTGATGCCACCAGGTTGCACCTCAGACTGTACAGAAGCTCAGTGATGCCCTGGCCCAGATCTGGGAGGAACTACCCCAGGACACCATCCATCATCTCATTAGAAGCATGTCCTGACGTCAGGAATGCATACATACACGGGAAGACCATACAAACTACTGAGTACCATTTTGAGTTGCTGCAATGAAGTTTCAGCAAAATGGACTATCATGCTGCATAATTTTTTCACTTAGATTTTGAGGGTGTCTTGAATTCAGTCTTCTGTAAGTTTTTAATTTCCATCATATGATGGGGCATCCTACGTTCCTAACACGTTACCCAGTCCATATCAGTATAGATATCCAGCATGATATTTTTCCCCATTGAGATCTGATGTGTTTTCAAAGTGTTCCTTTAATTTTTTTGAGCAGCGTATATAACTATCAAAAGTATTTTTACCATAAGCCAATCTGATTTACAAAAATAAAATAAAAAGGTTTAAGCACTTAAAAAAATGTTAGCAGCATATGTAAGACTTAACTCACACAAATGATCTGTGTTTTTACCACCCCCTGACCTCCCACCTCCACATTAACATGGCAGCCACTGCGGATCACTTTTCAGAGGGGTAGTAGAGCCTGTTACCCATGTGAATGAGCCCTAAAAGAGTACAGCAAGCTCTTACATAAAGATAAAGAAAAATTGTAGTATACACAGCACTACACATATCTTGGATTACTATACCACCTGGTATAAGCAGCAAGGGAAAATGATTTAAAATGGATGTGCTGTCTCTTTAAATTGATAATGTGCAAAGTGCAATTAACAAATTCATAATTTTATACACAAAAATAAACAACCACATGATCAATTCATCAAATTGTAATCAAAATAACTAAAGTGCAAATACAACATAAATAAAGAGCCCCAACTTCATAAAGTGTTCTGATGTGATGGCAAAACTAAGCTCAAATATTCTAGTGAGTTGCCCCAATATCTATATGTGAACTGCTTACTGAAACAATCAGACCTCCAAGTTATAGGAGGTCAATCTTCTATGCACAGATGTATCAAATGGCTCCAACCCTTCTCAAAGTGCTCCAGCAGATCGCCCACATGATCATCAGAAAATAGACAAAATACTTCATGGGCCAATATAGCAAACTATATAGGCTTTATTGTACAAAATATACTCACAAGAAAAGACATCAGTAAGCATTAGCATCAAAATATGCTGTCAACGCCCAACTTCCAGTGTGCGTGATGACGTCGCAGGTAAGCTCAACCCAATCTATTTTAGATGTGTTTTTGTGTATATTGTGTATTCCAATATTGGATTGCTACAGTTTCTTTTAGTGACACTAATCACAGGTGGTAAAGTTTTTATCTTATTGAAAATCATGTACCTCCTTGGTTTTGGTTTTACTGAAACAACAAATAGTCTAATCATGGAAAAAATACCAAAGTGTTATAGCTAAGATTATCTTCCTCTGTATAGTAAATCTTTCCACAGTTTGCTTTACGGCTTATAAACTCTTACCCACTTTGGCATATCTTCCTTACAAATAATACAGGTATTATAAATCAAGCAGCACTGATCTGAGATAAGAGCTAACCATTAGTCTTGCTGAGAAATCATTGGAATATCCTGAATCCATATCGAATGTAGTCACTCTGCTGGATCTCAGTTTATTCTAACCTCTTTGGCATTTGATATCCCTATCTGCAGACTTCTTCCACAGTGCACTTAGAAAGTCATCCACTTGCAACTCTGGAGACACATGAAAAGAGGCCAGTAGTATAGATTCAAGTGATTTTCAGACCTCTAGCATACTGCATAGACAGGAAGATCACTCTACTTTCTCCTAGTTCAGCTGTACTATTACTGGTTCAGTCTCATGCACATGGGGCGTTTTAAAAATCCTAATAGCATTAACTGTATAAAGTCACGTTGCAAACGCAAGATTTTCTGCATTTTCTAGTGTTTTTGCATTATTGTTTAGTTGCAGTATAGCTGAGTTTTTCCACGTTTGTGTTTTTAGCGTTTTTTTTTTAAAAAAAAACCTTTTTGCTCAAAAATGCCCCAAAACGCCGGTTTTGTGTGTTTTATCATGTTTTTCCAAGTTTACCAGCGGTAGAGCGTTTTAACAGCTAAACTCCTCTAGAAACCCACTAGTTCTGGGCTTTTTTCCAGCCAAAAAACGCCAAAAAACGGCCCTGCCAAAAAAACGCTGATTAAAGCCTATGTGTGCATGGACACAGGATAACATGCTGGGGAGTTTACTAGCTGTAGAAAAAAAGGCCAAAAGCCAAAAAGAGCCGCTGTAAAAATGTCCAGTGTGCATGAGGACTATGTCCTGGATCTTCTTGCTGATTTGGCAGAGAAGGTGATACTGTTTCATTGTCCAGTGAACAAACTGAAGGCTGATCTGTGACATTAGAAGCTGCAGAGCTGAAGCAGATGTATGACCCGTCTGACTGTGCAGTGTGACAGAAGCGCATTAATCGCAAAACAGGATTACAGATAATTTGAGAAGTAAAATAGTAAATATATATGCATTAAAACCCTGTATTTATTGATTTGCCTAAAATTTGACTCTTAGGATGGCTTCACACTGCCACGCTGCACTTTTGCCAAGACACAGCTAACCTGTGATTTTTGTATGGGTTAGCTGTGCTTTCTCATAGACTGCATGCTGCATCTTCAGTGCACTTTCTGAAACCATACCACAACTGTGGGACATCATAGAAGTCTATGGGGGAAACGCAGCAAACCAGCATAAAATTAGTGGGTTAGCTGCGCTTTGCCAAAAGCGCAATGGGACTGCATTGGGGCAGTGTGAAGCTACCCTAAAATGCTCATACAAGTCTCACAATTAGCAAAATTTATACCTAAATGGCTGAAAATCAGACAATGTGGCTAAAACGCCTACTTGTGATGCTGGTAAGCAATAATGCAATATACTATATCTTGGCGTAGATGAAGTTGTGTGTATTGCTGCAACTGATACGATCTTTGTGGTGGCCAGTGCTGTCGATATACTGTATACTGTATATTTAGCTCAAGCACTAAACAAGCAGTTTCTAAATTCACAGTGTTATGTATTTGTAAGAAAAAGACAGAGCCTCTGACTTCTGGTGTTTACATTCTGTAGCTTTGCCATGGCTCTTTGATTTAGCATTAGAACAATACACTAAAAAAATAAAATAAAAATAGCAATGATAAAAGCTATGTTTTTGAGAAGAACGTCTCTATTTTGTAGCTTCAGATGCTACACAATTTATTAATAGACTAAATCTTATTTTTGTGCATAGAGCAGAATTCCTCCTGGCAGCAACTCAGCCAGTACACTTCAAGCTTCAATATTTACCCGTCTTGATGAAGAGCACAACAGACGGGTATTGCAGCGGGCAAGTGACCAGGGCAAGATACCACTTCATGTATACCAGGTGAGATGGTCAAGGTGCAGCTGGCATATTGTATGAATTCCATTGTGCTCATCTCTCTTTTTTACAGGATGCCAGTAGAGTGATGTCACAGTACCGTAGACTGCGCCAGGAGGGGCTGCATTCCCTAGCTTCAGGATATGTACAATATATTTCCTGGAACAAAGCTGAGAGCCACTTACAAAGAGAGTGTCTTATGAGACCACACATCATACCTGCCTTGTCCAAGATAAAAGTACTGAAACACCAGGTAGGATTGTTAACTTGCTCTCAGAAACTAAAGTTCAACTTCAGGTAACTTTTAAAAAAATATTTTTAGACCATGCGGTCATATTTTCATTACTATCTGTGCTCCCACTGGGGAGATTTACTCACTTTCAGACTTGTCTGTGTGTGACAAGGACAGGAAGTGATGACACATGACTGACAGGGACAGAGACATCAATAGAAGTCCCAACAAAATCATAAGCTCCAAGGAGCAGGGCCCTCCTAACCCTCTTGTATTGAACTGTATTGTTGCTGTATTGTCTCCCATTATATTGTAAAGTGCTGAGCAAACTGTTGGCGCTATATAAATCCTGTATTATAATAATAATAATAATAATATATCAGCATTATATCAAATATAAACTTAACATTATTGTGAATATAGTGCCAAAAATGTATACAGTGCAATATTAATTCCCATAAAAAAAAAAAACAATGCACAGAACTATCATCAGTGATTAAAAGTATTTAAACAGTCTGTGTTCAACTCCACAATTGTATTTCCACCTTTGTGCCCTGTGTAGTTTAAATTAATGAAATGTCTATGGGATTCCAGTGACCCCTTATGCCAAAGTGAGTCATGAAACCCTTTGACAGATGAATATATTTGGTAGGACATCCTTCTCAGTCAAGGCTTATTGGTGCAGAGTAAGTAGGGTTACACACCATTGCTCAATCCTCTCCTCTCTTAATCCCAATGTAGTCCCAGGCGGGGGCGGACTGACAACTCATGGGGCCCCCGGGCAATAGGGGATCATGGGGCCCCTGTGTCCTTGCCCAAACTCAAAAAAGCCTATGAAAAAGGTACCAGGGACATCTCATGGGGCCCCCTACTGACCCCGGGCCCTCGGACAGTGCCCGAGTTTCCAAATGGTCAGTCCGCCCCTGGTCCCAGGTTGCTCCTAAACTGTAGCACCAAACTTGCTGGTGCACCTCTAATGGCCCCATTATTACTAGATTATCTAATTCTAATCTTCCACCTATGAAAGCACACATTTTTCTAAAGCTGGCACATATCAGCTTGGGCATTATATGAAATGAATAATATATATAGTTGTTGGATGACTGTTTGAGCCGGTGTATGTGGTTATCATATAACTACTTTTATTGTTTCATTGCACAAGTTCGAACAAGTTTAGTTGCATGTAGACAGGGCCACGACAGGGGGGGGGGCAGGAGGGGCACTTGCCCTGGGCACTGTGTCATGGAGGAAGGGGTGCTAGGAGAATGTCAATGCTCCATTCTCCATCTACCTAAATAACAGGAGTGATGTTGCAGGAATTGAACAGATCCTGTAACAGCACTTGGGTGGGAGAAAGTAGGCTGGATAGGCGTCCACTGAGAAACACACATTACTGCCGGAGAAGAGGAGGTGAAGATGGGCGGGACCACCAGTGATATTCTTTGTCTTCTGTGGGTACCTCTTCAGACTTTCTGGAAAAAATGCAACTGCATCTGTGGTGTCACTGATGTCACCACTCAATCTCTGTGCTGGGAGTGAATGTGCTCTCAGCACAGAACCATTGTCCACCCAGCTCGTTTACACTTGCAGTTGGGGGGATATTGAAAAAACACGTGGTTGTGTAATGGCAACTTTGGGAATTCCAGAAAAACTCTGGACACGAACTTGAGGAAAACAAGCTTTTTATTTACCAGCTGGTTGACCTAGCCAGACTCGTGTCTGCAAGCTAAGTGCCTTGAAAAGCATCTTACATGATGTATATTTCAACAAATACGTCACAATGCATATATTTCCTCTTTACTTTTTTTGTACCTTTAAAATACATTCTGAGCAGTTCAGGATATAGACTTGCGGTTTCACATATAGATAGAATGTCACCAACTGAAAGTTAGGGTGTAAGCTGCTAGACTGGAACACATTGTTCCACAGGAAATGAGGGGGAGGAAGTGAGCTGATGACCTGGTTCTGCAAACAGATGCTTTTAGAAATGTTAAAGCTTAAAGGGGAACTTTGCAATATTTGGGTGCTGCCACAGTTGAGCAGCATTTTTTACAGCCACCCACCCAACTTCTCCCTCTTAACCTCTCGCTACCCATGTAACACATATGTGCGGCAGCCATATACAGTATATGCCACACATATACATCGCTTTGTTGGGTGGACAATGTTTCTGTGCTGAGACGTGCTCACTCTACACTCCTAGCACCGAGACTGAGCTGTGACACCAGTGAGACCACAGACGCAGGGGCTTTTTTCTTAACAGCAACACCACAGATGCAGGGACATTTTTTTACCTACCAATGACACCACTGACTCAGGGACATTTTTCCTTTTAGTGACACCACTACAATATGGACACAGGTACATTTTTCCTCACAATGACACCACCAACGCAGGGACATTTTCCTTCCAGGGATACCACCAGCCTAGGGGCATCTATTCTTTATAGTGACACCAGTGGTGCAGGGACATTTCTGACTTCCATTGGTACCACCACAGGGGAAGGGGGGACTGTATGGGGGCGCAATTTGGCATCTTCACCTTGGGCACTGGTTGACCTTGTCCTGCCACTGCATGTACAGTACAGTAAGTATTGTATAGGTATATCTATTAAACACTGGGCTCTCAGAGGGACAGGCAGTGCAATCTTTCCATGTTAACCTAACATTTTACAATACCAAGCCTGTAGTCTACATAGAGCATTGAACTTACAAGTGTTTTATTTTAAATATACATTTCCTGTTCAGTGTTCTTGTGTTTAATTGATGCTAAATCCAGATTACAAATAGTTCAAATATGTGAGTTCTGTGGTAAACACTTATCAATGCTTAATTTTTACAATCATAGCACAGAGTTGGTATTGCTGTCCATCCATTGCCCTAGTTCAGCCCAATGACCACTTATACTTTGTCACTGTTTGAACAGACCATGCTCACTGTTGTAATTTTATGCCCCTTCTTGGACTGAGGAAATATTTTACAGCCCTTCTAAGATCAGAACTTTGTGGTGACCATGTGAGTGGTGATTCTATGCTATACCACTGTGTTCCAGTTCTGTGCTTTTACTGTCTGTTTGGCTACTGTTCACCATTTCTGTTCTATACTGTTCAGTGACCATTGTGCTCCAATTCTGTGCTTTACTGTTTGGTGATTACTGTGCTCTAATTCTATGCTAAACTGTTTGGTGACTACTGTGCTCCAGTTCTGTGATGTACTATTTGGTATTCATGTTGTAGGTTTTCCTTCGCTGGCAAAAAAAGAGAGAGCAAAGTCAAGAGGAGAAGCTGAATCTTTCTATAATCCTCAACCAGACCCTACAAGGAATTCAAGAGGAGAGTGGGATTTTTCTGATTAAACCTGTGCTGTCATGGTCTGGAAGGTAGTACTTACTGTACATTTACCAGCAATTATTAAAAGAAAGTTATGCTGAAATATCAGAATACAACAATATATAACATGTTCATAATTCCTTATTGAAAATGTTATGTGTGGTACGAAGTGTAGCAATTAAGTAATGAAACATTCAGGGAAGGGGGACTTTTTACTGTGCAATAAAAATAGGCACCTAGCATGTTACAGGAACAATGTTGTATCTCATATACATCCATCAATGAAAATTAGAGTTTTCAAGATGAAACCATTAGTTTCATTATGGTTTTACCTTGATTTTTTTTTTATTCAAGTGTGAACTTTCTTGCATGTAATGTAAAGATGGTTTGAAGAATATTTGTATCAAAGATCATGAATACAAGAAGAATCATCATTCTTACAATCTTTATTAAAAAAAGCCCGGTTTTATTTGGAAGCCTTTAAGTTTCTGGAATTCCCATGCTAAAGTGAATATATGCTTGGCCCATCTTTAATTACTGGAGCTGCACTATGTGTACATTTTAAGTGAATTACCTGGTGTTAGAGTTCCATCAGACAGTTTATATTTTTATTTGTAGATCACCAATACGAGAGAGTCACTCGCAAATTCTGTCACATTATAGATCTCGTCAGAGAAGAAAGTTCCCACCACTTGACCAGGTAACAACAAAAGTCTAATTTTTTTTTTATTATTTAAATTCTATATTTATATTTGACATCTTGAGCAAGGTAAACATAAAAGAAATGGTCATGCAACATATTATCTTTCATATGTCCAACCTTCCAATGAGTTTGTAATTAACTTCCTGGTATTTGTTGCTAATACATCCGCAATGTGAAGAGTGAATGAAGTGATCTATTTGCTCAGGAATAAAAGAGATGTATAGGTCACTCTTCCGAAAAGTTTACTTTTGTATCATTGTTAGATACTATGGTGTACCTGCTGCTAAGTTTGGTATAGCTAAGAAGGTCTACATAATAGTAATATTTGGATTTTTGATGTGTCATTTTGTGTGGGTACAAGTCTGTTCTTCTTTACCAGGGTGGTATTTTGTGCTGTGGGAAAGCCCCACCATACGTGCCCAAGGAGTGGAAAACCATGTACACTGATACAGAGATACAACCAGGAGTGGTCACCCCTAAACTGCTGGAGATGGATGTTCGCAGGTATTTGTGCAGGGAAATGTAGGTGAGTGCAAGGTCAAAAACCTAATGTAATAATATAGTGGATATAAAAAGTCTACACACCCCTGTTAAAATGTCAAGTTTCTGTGATGTAAAAAAATGAGACAAAGGTAAATCATTTCAGAACTTTTTTCACCTTTAATGTGACCTATAAACTGTACAACTCAGTTGAACAACAAACTGAAATCTTTTAGGTGGAGGGAAGTAAAAATAAAAAACTAAAAATATTATGGTTGCATAAGTGTGCACACCCTTAAACTAATACTTTGTTGAAGCACCTTTTGATTTTATTGCAGGACTCAGCATGACACATCTTGACTTGGCAATATTTGCCCATTCTTCCTTGCAAAAACACTCCAAATCTGTCAAATTGCAAGGGCATCTCCTGTGCACAGCCCTCTTCAGATCACCCCACAGATTTTCGATCGGATTCAGGTCTGGGCTCTGGCTGGGCCATTGCAAAACTTTAATCTTCTGGTGAAGCCATTCCTTTGTTGATTTGATGTATGCTTTGGGTCGTTATCATGCTGAAAGATAAAGTTCCTCTTCATGTTCAACTTTCTAGCAGAAGCCTGAAGGTTTTTTGCCAATATTGACTGGTATTTGGAACTGTTCATAATTCTCTCTACCTTGACTAAGGTCCCAGTTTCAGCTGAAAAAAAAAAGCCCCAAAGCATGATGCTGCCACCAGCATGCTTCACTGTGGGTATGGTGTTCTTTTGGTGATGTGCAGTGTTGTTTTTGCGCCAAACATATCTTTTGGAATTATGACCAAAAAGTTCAACCTTGGTTTCATCAGACCATAACACATTTTCCCACATGCTTTTGGGAGACTTCAGATGTTTTTTTGCAAAATTTAGCCGGGCTTGGATGTTTTTTTTTCATAAGAAAAGGCTTCTGTCTTGCCACTCAACACCATAGCCCAGACATATGAAGAATACGGGAGATTGTTGTCACATGTACCACACAGCCAGTACTTGCCATATATTCCTGCAGCTACTTTAATGTTGCTGTAGGCCTCTTGGCAGCCTCCCAGACCTGTTTTCTTCTCATCCAGTTTTTGGTAATATCACTGTTGCGCCATGTTTTCTCCACTTGATGATGACTGTCTTCACTGTGTTCCATGGTATATCTAATGCCTTGGAAATTCTTTTGTACCCTTGTCCTAACTGATACCTTTTAACAATGAGATCCCTCTGATGCTTTGGCAGCTCTCTTTGGACCATGGCTTTTGTTGTAGGATGTGACTAATGCAGGCCATAGATGGGGAGAAAAACTGCAGATTTTTCTTTTAAAAAACGAAAAATCGGTTGTTCAAGTGGCCGACGTTACCATCAATGGTAAAAAAAATCGGCCGATTTTCTGCCCGTCTAGAGCCGGCAAAAAGTGTCCCTGCAGAGAGCTCTGCTATTTCTTTGACAGTTCTCTGACAGTTCCTTGACATTTATAGAAGTTGCAACAATGTATCTATTTGTTTCCATTTAGGATACAGATGTTTTTATTCGGAAACAAATAGATACAATGTTTCAACCACTGTAAATGTCAAGGAACTGTCAGAGAACTGTCAGAAATAGCGGAGCTCTCTGCAGAGACACTTTTTGCTGGACTGGAATTCTTCTTATTTTCATCCTACTTCTTCTTCTTCTTCTTCATCCTCATCCTCATCCTCTTCTTCTTCTTCATCCTCATCTCTCTTCTTCTTCTTCTTCTTCTTCTTCTTCATCCTCTTCTTCTTCTTCTTCTTCTTCTTCTTCTTCTTCCTCTTCTTCTTCAGCCTCATCCTCTCTTCTTCTTCTTCTTCTTCATCCTCATCCTCTTCTTCATCCTCATCCTCTTCTTCATCCTCATCTTCTTCTTCTTCTTCTTCTTCATCTCATCCTCTTCTTCTTCATCATCCTCTTCTTCTTCTGCATCCTCATCCTATTCTTCTTCTTCTTCATCATCCATCATCCTCTTCTTCTTCATCATCATCCTCATCCTCTTCTTCTTCTTCATCCTCATCCTCTTCTTCTTCTTCTTCTTCTTCTTCTTCTTCTTTCTTCATCCTCATCCTCTTCTTCATCCTCATCCTCTTCTTCATCATCATCATCATCCTCTTCTTCTTCTTCTTCTTCTTCATCCTCATCCTCTTCTTCTTCATCCTCATCCTCTTCTTCTTCATCATCCTCATCCTCTTCTTCTTCATCCTCTTCTTCTTCCTCTTCTTCTTCTTCATCCTCTTCTTCATCGTCTTCCTCTTCTTCTTTTTCTTCTTTTTGTCTTCCTCTTGCAGGTCACTGCTCATGCGCAGATTTTTTATCGGTAAAAAATCGGCCGATTTGCCCACTAATTGCCGCGAAAATCGGCCGATCAGCAAAATCGGCCGATTTTTTTTCCAACTTTACCGAAAAAAAAAACCGGCCAAAATACCGAAAAACGGCCGACCAAATCGCCCACTAACGATCCGAAAATCGGCCGATTTTATTTTCGGCCGAAAAATCGGCCGATTTTCGACCCATCTATGTCCTGCATAAGGCTGGCCATACATTATACAATTATCTGCAGATTTTTGGTTTAGATTTACCAAAAACCATATAATAGGAGGACAAACCTAAACAACACTTTCAGTTGTATCCAATTAGGCAGGCCCTTGCACTACATAGTTGAAGGTAAATCTAAAGGAAATTGGGCAGAAAATCTGCAGATAATTGTATAATGTATGGCCAGCCTAAGAAAATGTCAGGACAGACCTACTAGAACAGCTGAACTTTATTTGGGGTTAATCAGAGGCACTTTAAATTGTGACAGGTGTGTACTGACTCCTATTTAACATGATTATGAATTTGATTGCTTAATTCTTAACACAGCTACATCCCCAGTTATAAGAGGGTGAGCACATTTATACAACCACATTATTTTAGTTTTTTATATTTACTCCCCCCCTAAAAGATTTCAGTTTGTTTTTCAATTGAGTTGTACAGTTTATAGGTCACATTAAAGGTGGAAAACATTCTGAAATGATTTATCTTTGTGTAATTTGTTTACGTCACAGAAACTTGACATTTTAACAGGGGTGTATAGACTGTTTATATCCATTGTATATCATGTAAATAGCAGAACAAGGTTAGGGTCCCCTTGGATATGAATATGCATGGAACTGTGCATGGGACTATAGTTACTTTGGAATATGTAGGCCTACAGCCTTATGCTAAAAGGTCTTACTTATTGCACTGTAGATCTGCTGGCGATTATTAGGAGGTTAATATTGCAATACAACCTAGTAATAAAACTATAAACAGTGATGATCTTGACCTACTATTGTTTTGTATGTTCTGTTTTCCTTTCTACATTTTTTACAGTTTGAGGTCTCCCGGATTTCTATAAATATGAAGTATTTGCTCGTAGTGACCAATGAATTTCATTTTTTGCTTTCTGGCAAAATGGGGCAAGAATTCTGATTAGTCAATATGAGTAAAATGTTGTTCACTTTTGTGAAGTACCTTCTTTTCCCCAGATAAACATATCCCATTGGTTTACACAGAACAGGTGAATATTTTCGCTATTGCTGTTTCCTTCTGGAATAATACATACTTTCATTTTTTCAGTGTGTCCCAGATACGCAGTTCTGCAGCTAGATTACCCCTCAGAAGCCTTCCACTTCAAAAACTTGTCGGCATTAAACAGACCTTTTCATTACCAGCAATGTGACTTGTGAACATTCAGTTGTGCTTTTTATTCCTCCTTCAAATTTTTTATGTGAATATTTCTATAATGAATCCACACAAAAGAGTATAACAACAATCAACGATCTGTTATTTATTATGTGAAAATCACTTAAAGCGGTATTAAACCCAAACACAAAAATGGAATATACGGCATTTTACCAGTCCTTAAATGTGGTAGCTGTATTCATTTTCTTTTTAAGTTTCTTTTTGTCCTTTATTTTCACCTGGTGATATGGACAGTAACACATTTCCTGTCTTATGGTGTCGCCACTTTGGATGGGGGAGCAACACAGACAAAGTTGGACAGCAGATTTATTAATCTGAGGATTTATTAATCTGAGAAGAAGAACATTTTGCATGCAGATTTAGATGGACTTGGCTAACAAATTAAAACCAAACTCCTGCTAACACTTTTTAAGAAGGTATAGTAACAGTTTTTTTTTTTTTTTGGATTGTTGGGATAAAAGTTTCACTTAAGTGTATAAATTGGTTGCTAAGATGCAAGGTGGTCCTAGAAACCAGAGGATGACAGCAGTAGAAAGGGTGGAGGAGAGGAATCTTGATGTGCTGGAGAATACAGGACAGCCAGGCAGGCTTAAGCAGAGAGAAAGAGAGAGACACACACCCAGGCTGCTAGATGACATAACAGCCCCCATTTAAGTAGTGCCCAGGGCATGTGCCATAGCTGCCATATCCTGAATACGCCACTGTAAATGGAATTTATCAGAGAATTATTATTGTTTGGATTGAACTGTCACTCAACCTGGACTGGACTGGGGTCTGCCATTTAGTGATGCCTGCTATAGAAGTTATGGTGAATATGGACTAAATTTAATTAAAAAGCCCTTAAAGTGGTTGTAAAGGCTGAAGGTTTTTTTTTACCTTCATGCATTCTAGACACTCATCCCTAAGGGTAGAAGTGCCAGAAGCACTGGAGGGAGACCTGAGATGAGGAGGATCGGGGCTGCTCTGTGCAAAACCATTGCACAGAGCAGGTAAGTATAGCATGCTTATTATTTCAAAGAAAAAAAACTGAACCTTTATAACCACTGTAATGTTAATCTGTGCATAGCACAGTAAAGTCTTCCTAAAACAGAAAAATGTACATGTCTCATTCCATCACATATCTCAAAGTAAGAAGATTAGTTTTCATTTCAGCAAAGCCACCCCTTGCAGAAACTCGAGGAAAATCCCACTGCTGTGTAATAAGCACCAACCCATGGGACTTGTGGGATTCTCCTTGAGTCTCTACAAATTTCCTTAACAATCTGTCTGTTAATGGAAATTTTGCAACTTTGGACTAGTTCACAAGGCAACATCCAGCTGGATTTACTTTCTGTTGGTGTCCAGCCATATGACAGCAGGATTCCTTTAAAGCCTTCATAAATCTTTCTGAGTTGCAGTCTTTACCCCGTTTTTCTTTAATTGGGTTAGTTGTGGACAGGGGCGGATTGACCGCTTGGAAACTTGGCCACTGCCCGAGGGCCTGGGGTCAGTAGGGAGATGAGATGCCCCTGGTACCTTTTTCATAGGCTTTTTTGAGTTTGGGCAAGGACACAGGGGCCCCATGATCCCCTATTGCCTGGGGGCCCCATGAGTTGTCAGTCCGCCCCTGGTTGTGGACATATATTATTTACTACGGCACACTTCATTTTTTTTTTCTTGGTTGTTTTGGTCAAAGGGTGGATATACAGTTTCTTTAATTACCTTCTGTCTTAGGGATGAGTGTATATATGTTGAGGATTCAGCAGCTTTCCTGTAGACATATGCTCCCTTGTTAGCCTTGGGGATGAAGTTGCGACGTGTATGTGCGTTGCCTCTGCATCTTTATCTTGCTTTTGAGTAATTGTGATTTCTACTTGTGGGGTGGGCAATAGTATTTACATATTTATACATGTTTACACATTGGGGATTCCACCTGCTCTGATAGTGAGGCATATCACTTTGTTTTTGATAAATTATGCACATGTTAAAGTTTGTTATGTGTTTGTCCATGTAATAAAGTCTTATTTCATTGTCTGGAAAATGTATTGGGTAAAGTCTATATTTGTCCACAATTTTATCTATTGAGTATTCCTTTGGAATGTGTAACCAGAAGGTGACTTCAACTGGTCTGGACTCATAGAGAACCCTGAAGTTTGGGTAGGGGTTCTCTCAGTCTAGACCCCTAACACTATATAAACATGTAGTTAATGGCAGACATACAGCCCTGAGGAAGTGCGTTTATCCTTGAAACACAAAAGTGTCTGCTCTGCAGTGGGTGGTGTTTTTGCCTGTCTAGAGCTACAAATTGGGACTACAGTTGCCTTCTGGTTCATGTTATGTGCCTCACACTCATCTGGCTTTGTGAATATAACTGCCAGTGTTTTACATTCTAATAAATGGTACCAAACTAAACTGGCTGTACCCTTCTTGTTTTTTTGTTCTTCATTTAAAAAAAAAAAAAAAATCACCTTTCTCATTTCATCATACATCCCACTGCTTTACAATCTGCAGACATTCAAATATTGCTCCCTTCCAATATTGTAACATGCAGATTGCTGGTGTACAGAACTCCCCAGATATCTTCTTTCTTGATTGTGTGATAGGCTCATTGCTTTTTCCCCAGAGGTCTACACTTGTATATAGGTGATATTTCAGGCAACCCCTGCAATATGAGTGTCATTGTTAGTGAAGTACTCTCTAAGGCTCTAGTGGTTATAATTAAGGATGACCCTCCCATTTAGAAACAACTCTAACAAATAACACAGTAAAACAATAACTCTATCTTAAAAACAAAAAAAAAAAGATTCTATAAAGTAATTGTTAAGTAATTGTTAACATTCTTGCAATGCATACTATAGCTCAACTAGAGAAGCTGTTCTCAACAAAACTGGAATTGTGTTTAAACTTTGTATTTCTGTATTTTTTTAATTAAATATTGTCTTAATCTAAGGCAGGGCTCTCCACATTTTCATTAAAAGAGCCACATGGTATATTTTACAAATGTTTCTAGGCCAAAAAAAACTGTTTTATATATGAATGCATACATTTAAATTAACTATTATATTTTATTTTGAGCTTTTTGGTATCCGTATGATATGATTCAGAACAACAGAGAAATAACTTAAAGTGTTACTAAACCCACAATAGTAAAATCAGTCTGTATATGCAGTAAAGCATGCTTGTTATACTCACTGTGGAACCTAAGGGGTTAATCCTCTGCATTGTGTAAAAAGGCTATTTGATCCTGTCTTCTCTGCCCCTCCTCTTGTTCAAATGTCCAAGTCTTATCTCCTGATAAGACAGGCTGAACCCGTAGTCATTCTGCACATGATCTATTTGGTGTGTATTGCTAGAGAGGTTTTTTTTTTCCTTGGGAGAGTGCATGTGTTCAGCACAGGGCCAATCAGCATGGTCCAGACAGACGTCAGGGGATTTGTATCCTCCTACAGCAGACAGAAACTCCTCCTACAAGCTTTAACCAGTGCTCTGCTGAACACTGATAGAAGTCACAAGACTGCTCTAATTGCTGATGAGAAAAGGCACTTAGCAGTTTATATTTACTAAAATAATTGCACTTTCATGTTCTTTGTGCTGTAGGAGACCAGTAATAGTGAATGCAGGGTCCTGGGCTTAGTAACACTTTAATTAGAACAAAGTAAAGAAATTCCATAAAACCATTAATACAGATTGAACAAAAATAAATACTGTCTGTACCTTTCTCATCTTCTCAGTCCCCATCAGAATCCTCCAACATCAGGATTCCCATCAGAGTCCTCCCTTACCACTATCCCCCCCACCAAAAGGGTCTCCATCAAAGTCCCCCCTTACAACGGATTCCACATCAGAGTTGCCCCTACATTAGGGTCCCCATCAGAGTCCCCCTTTACATCACTGACCTAATGAGAATCTGATCTTACCTTACATACATGCAGCGTGGCTGTAGCAGCAGGGCTGGAGCCAGGAGGCAGACCATGCTTAGGTGGCAGAAGATCCATCCTCCTTTGAATGCTGGGGCAAGCATAAGCATGTGATTGGTCGTTAGTGGACTGCTGCTCACCTGCAGTGAAACCTATGTGCAAGCACAGTGGGCCACTGTTGAGGATATGCCACTGACCCTAGCTATGGGGTAGATAAAATGTTGTAGTAGGCTCAGGGGTGGACTGACAACTCATGGGGCCCCCGGGCAACAGGGGATCATGGGGCCCCTGTGTCCTTGCCCAAACTCAAAAAAGCCTATGAAAAAGGTACCAGGGGCATCTCATGGGGCCCCCTACTGACCCCAGGCCCTCGGGCAGTGCCCGAGTTTGCAAATGGTCAGTCCGCCCCTGAGTAGGCTGCATTTGGTCCATGGGTAAATTTTGGAGATCCATGATCTAAGGCAGGGGTAGGCAACTTGCGGCTCTCCAGCTGTTGCAGGACTACAAAATCCATCATGCCTCTGCAAGTCATAGCTGTAACTGTCAGTTTTGTAATGTTGCAATGCCTCATGGGAAATGTAGTTCCACAACAGCTGGAGAGCCGCAGGTTGCCTACCCCTGATCTAAGGGATGATGAACACAGGAAAGCTACATTAGCATAATTCATTGGTGCACTATAGATATAAAGATGCTGGTGGAAGAGCCCATCTGCACTGGTAGTATTTTCACCTCTGATTGCTTTTGAGTCTTACAAGAAAGAGCAATAAAGGAGTATTGGTTTAACCACTCTCTATATAGCAAAATAGGTAATATGAGGTTAATGTACTATTCAGCTCACTTAACAAAGTGAAGTTTCAGGGAAAAGGGAATTTTAACTTAGAGCATGATGTGTAGATGTGATAACTTCAATTATCCAATCATATGCAAGCAAAATCCTGTTTTGTAATTTTATCTGCAAATGATTGTGTATTCTTTGCAAAGTATTTTGTCACTTAGCTTTTCACTTTGCTTTACCTCATTCAATAAGCTAAGAGAAAATTAACCCCGCATTAGACGGTTAATGCATAAATGCAGCTTTAGCAAATATACTAGCAGTTTACATAAAACTGAAATAAAAAGGTGCCGCAAATTAATTGAAAGACTGACATTTGTAACAGAACATTCTGATTTTTTTTTTTAATAATCACTGATGTTCTGTTTAGCTATGTACATACACTTATGTACCTGTAAATGCCTTATAGACATTTGTTAATTCACCATATCCACCCCATTTTAAGGGTTTTGTTTTTGTACCTCTAGGTCTGACAACCCTTTGAAATTATTGAACTAAATGATAAAGATGCTAATGTTATTAGTTAAAGAGACCCTGTCATCAACTTAAAAACTTGCAGGTAAAAGCACAGCATAAATAAATGCAAGGATTTTTAATGCTTGCTTGCAGAGTGTTTTCTTTCCATAAATGATTTTTTATTCACTTACACTTGGAACATTCACTCAAGAAGAGTCAATCTTCTAGCAAAACGTCCTTTCCTTACGTCATAACACTCTCCTCTACTGGGATTGGCCCAGCTCCTCCAGTGCTCCCTACATAACATTTTTCGTAGCAGCCAGGAAAGGGGAAAGCTGCAGAGTGTCATTTAGGTGACAGTTCTGAGTCTGTTGGGACTACTGACATTACATCCAAGATGGTAGCACTCACCAGCAGTCTCAGGGCTTTTGTATGTCTACACAGGGGAGGCTTTTATAGGTAAATGACATAATTAAAATAGATTAAATTCACATATAATCTCAGTGGAAGATTTTTGTTAAAATACATGGACTGGTTACATGGCCTTTTAACCAGTTGTGGACAATGGGCATACTACATGCACCCAATAAAATGTATTTGAAGTACAGAGGGCAGGGGCATATTTACCACAAGGCAAACAAGGCATTTGCCTAGAGTGGCATTTTTCAGGGGGGCAGTGCCATCCCCCAAAAGAAGGGATGGAAGAAGGGACACACTCAGCATGGAGACCAGGTGGGATCTGAGAGAGACTACGGGTTGTTTGATGGTGTATGCAGAGCCTGACTCTTGTTCCCAGGGATGTCCAGAGCTATGAAGGTGAGTGTCTTCTCTCTCGCCAGGGTGGGGGGAGGTTGCCACTGTGGGGGGGGGGGGGGGTGGTAGTGGAAGGCTCTCTCCGGTGGGGGGGAGGAGGGGGGGCTGGGGTGTTTTTGGTCAATGTCAGGCTCTCTTCGTGGGGGAGGGGTGGTGTTGGTCGGTATCAGGTTCTTTCCATGGGGGGGGGGGGGCATCTACCGAATTCAAATATTCCTTGTGAAAAATGATAATGGTAAAACAAAAGGGCCTGGATTGGAGAACGTCTAAGACAGTGGTGGTCAACTTTCTTGATATGGGGAGCCTCAATTGTGACCCCCAACATCACCAAAGGGGCCGCACATAAAATTCAGTGAATATTCAGTGTCAGAGACAGCAGACACACAAAACGATAAAGTCAAAGACTATGGGCATGATAAAAGAGATTGTCAGCCTGCAAACATAATACAGGACATGGTCAGTGATTGTGCACATGATACAAGATATGTTAAGACTGCAGACATGATACAAGAGATTATCAGAGACTGTGGACATGATACAAGAGATGTCAGAGACTGTGGACATGATACAAGAGATGTCAGAGACTGTGGACATGATACAAGAGATGATCAGAGACTATGGGCATGATACAAGAGATGTCAGAGACTATGGACATGATACAAGAGATGTCAGACACTGTGGACATGATACAAGAGATGATCAGACACTGTGGACATGATACAAGAGATGTCAGAGACAGCAGACATGATACAAAAAATAGTCAAAGACAGCAGACATGATACAAGAAATGGTCAGAGACTGCAGACATGATACAAGAAATGGTCAGAGACTGCAGACATGAAACAAGAGATGGTCAGAGACTGCAGAGAGGATACAGCAGATGGTCATAAACTGCAAACATACAACAGGAGATGTTTAGAGACTGAAGACATGATACCAAAACATGATCAGAGACTGCAGACGTGCTACAGGAGACTGTCAGAGATTGTGAATATGCTATAGGAGTTGTTGGAGACTGGGAACATGCTTCAGGAGACAGTCATCAGGAGACATATTACATGAGACTGCTTGGGCAACAGAGGTCTAAGAAATATAAAGTGAATTCTGCAGTCCCCAGAGTTCCCAGGATACTGCTGGAAGGCAGCACCCTTGCTTAGGTGTCATAGGCGGAAGTTAGGGTGCAAAGTTAGTCTTCTCTTCTAGTGTGATTTTGTAGAGGTGTGATAAGATGTTTTTACATGGATGGAGAGCCACTAAAGTTAAGCATGCCTTGCATTTTGGTAAAAAGCTCTGCTTTAACTACAAAGAATTCAAAACATCTGGTGGTGGAGCACTTTACCCTATTCTCCCTGCCATTTACATGACAATGACTGCATATCTATTAATCAGGGGATAAAATTATAATGAAGGAAAAGTGTCAATGTCCAGTTCAAGCTAAGGAAGTAAATACATTATTGGGCTTACATGGGGTGTCCATTGTCTACACTTTGCCTTACTAACCCAGCAGCTAATGGGAGGAAGGACACTGGAGGGTTCACATACAGCTAATCAGCTGGTGCCTTGGACAATTCATAAGAAGCATCAACAGCAGGCAGCCCAGGTTTGTCCTACGTAGATTTAAGGTGTACCTGTTATAAGCTTTACTAACACGCCTACAACCTTATTTTCTTGTTTGAAATAACAATTTGTGAATATCTCACATATTGTACCCACATTTATGTCATTAATTGATCAAATGTTCAAGCCCAACTCCAGAAGATTAAAAAATAATCCCAGCCAGTGAAGTTATTCTTGCACTGCAAAGGTTAATTGCTTGTTTAGGTCTAGGAGACATAAAAAAGAAGATCTACTTACACAATCCTCTGCATTGCGACCAGGTCACATGGTGTCTTCTCCCCTATGTTCCTGCAGTCTACGGTCCTGACATCAAGAAGACCAATGCAGGGTAGATAGCCCTGCATTGGATGTGATGATGCAAAAGGACCATCAACCACCAGAGTCTGGGGAAATACCATCTACCGGAGGAGTGGAGGATTGGGTAAGTGAAAGTGCTTCTCCCCAAGACTAAATTAGCACTTAACCTTTGCAGGGGGCACAGCCAAATTCCAAGGGATAATTTTAAAATTTCATGGAGTTGGGTTTGAAAGTGCATGCAAAGCCAAACGTTTTATATGTTTTGGATACTAGATATGGTAGGGAAGGGTTAACCCTTGTCAGTTTATCTTTTTTGCTGTCCATGTCCCCTTAGGGTGATTTCTCATCATTTCCTGGAGACACAACAGTAAGTCAGAGGAAATCTCTACAGTATGAGGGATATATTGCCTCTGAATTAGGTGTGAAGACCAGAAGTTTAGAGAAGCAGCACTGAGAGAGCAGGAGTCAACAGCATTGAAAGTTGTAAACCACAAGTGCTGGGATAGGAATTTTACACTCACCTTTGACAAAGGAGCTAACCCCCTTGCCACGCTAACAAAAACAAAAAAAATGAGCCTTTAATAAATATTAGTAATAAACTTTAAAAAAAATTGCGCAAGATAAAACATTTCAGCTAGCACCATTTTAATCTCCAGGGTCTCTGCTTTCAGAAAATGTATACGTGTGTGTGTGTAAACCCAGGACCCTGCATTCACTATATCTGGTCTCCCACAGTACACAGAACATGGAAATGCAATTATTTTAGTAAATATAAACTGCTAAATAGCTTTTCTCTTCATCACTATATAGCAGTTTTGTGACTTCTCTCAGTGCCCAGCAGAGCACTGGTTAGATCTTGTAGGGGAAGTTTTCATTTTCCCCTGATTGTCCTATGAGGCTGCAGGACCCCTGAGCTTGTGTGACCTGGACAGTGCTGATTGGTCCTGTGCTGATCACATGCCCTCTCCCAAGAAAAAAAAAACTATCAATACACACCAAACTGAGCATGTGCAGCTTGCCCCAAGGCTCTGTTCTATCAGCAAATGGAGTGAGGACAGTAGAAGTTGAGGATCAGAGGAGACAGGATCAAACAGCCTTTTTACACAATGCAGAGGATTAACCCCTTAGGCTCCACAGTGAGTATAACAAGCATGCTTTACTGCATATACAGACTGATTTTACTGTTGTGGGCAGGGGCGAATTGACAACTCATGGGGCCCCCGGGCAATAGGGGATCATGGGGCCCCTGTGTCCTTGCCCAAACTAAAAAAGCCTATGAAAAAGGTACCAGGGGCATCTCATGGGGCCCCCTACTGACCCCGGGCCCTCGGGCAGCGCCCGCGTTTTCAAATGGTCAGTCCGCCCGATTGTGGGTTTACTAACCCTCTAAAAATGAAACGATTGCCTGGCAGGCAAAGTGGTTAGAAGTGATAATGGTTGTCAATGTGACATATTTCTTATATTATGTAGTTATTATGACATATGTATTTCTCATGTGACTCTGAACAGGGAATGACACGTGAAGACTGGAAGTTGGGCGGAGGTCGCACAGGCAGGCAGTTCTGACTTTGGAATCCCGTCTACACGCTATACCCCATACTGACCGCACGGGGCCACTGTCGGCCATTTGTTTTGTATTTTTCCTGTCGGTGACGTCAGCCCGGCTCCGCCCCCTGCCCGCTACTCTCCGGAGTTCCTGTGTAATCTTCCCGCTTCCGGCTGCTCGAGTGATGGCGGATGAAAGTGGAGCCTCGCAGCGGGATCCCCCGGAACTAGATGAGGATGAGGAGGCTGCGGGCACTGACAGCGACACCGAGGGGGAGGACATCTTCACCGGGGCTGTGAGTGGCGTAGGGGACGGTGCTGACGGGGGCTGTGAGGGTCCTTCCTATGGCAGCTGCAGGGCTGGGCTCAGTCCATGACAGGCAGGGAAGTCCCTGTGTGCGGGACTGATGGCGATCATATGGGAGCTGCAAGGTCCGGGATCGCCCTGTGTGCTCACTTCTCTATACTGGGGAGGAATTAGAGGAACATGGCGACCAATCAGCTTCTCGCATAAGCTTGCTCAGTGAGGCGTTGTAAATGAAAGCTGGAAGCTGATTGGTTGCCATGCACAGCTGCTGCAGTATTGGTCTGTGATGTATGCTGTCTTCTGGAGGCTCTATAGAAGGTGTGCAGACTGATCTGTGTAAATGAAGGACAAGGACAGAGTGTGCGTGCTAGGATTGTAGAGATGTCACGTGATCAGAGTGCTGTGACCCATGACAACCAGACGGGGAAGATGCAGGTGGTGGGGGAGTACATGTTAGGCCTGTGACAAGCCAATGCAGCATGATTTTATATTCAGTCTGCATTTGAGGTCACTTATAGGCAGGGGCGGACTGACAACTCATGGGGCCCCCGGCAATAGGGGATCATGGGGCCCCTGTGTCCTTGCCCAAACTCAAAAAAGCCTATGAAAAAGGTACCAGGGGCATCTCATGGGGCCCCCTACTGACCCTGGGCCCTCTGGCAGTGCCCGAGTTTCCAAATGGTCAGTCCGCCCCTGCTTATAGGGCTCATTCACACTAACTGTTGAGGGGTGGTAAAACCTTGCATTTTACTCACATTTTTACCAACCATCCCATTAGCTGCAGTGGCCAGTGCTGTGACCATGATGCTTTGCTGCTACACCAGGAAATCTACCCCCTGTCACTTTCAGTGGGCATAGCACCCGCCAAGTGCGACCTGTTGAAGTGTGGCTGCTTTGCAAGCACTCCACAACAGCATGCTGTGCGCTAGTGTGGGGTTCAAGGGGGCTTACAGCAGGCAGTGAAGAGGTGATGCAACTCCTCTTCACTGTCTGTCAAATGCTCTCTGAAGAGAGATCCAAACTTGGATTGCTCATCAGAGATGTGAATGTGCCCATAAGGTCTTCTCACGCTGCCATGTCTGCACTGAACACAGGTAACAGTTGCAATTTAAAGTGATACTAAAGGCTTAACATCTTCTTTTTCAGTAATAAACATGTCTATACTTACCTGCTCTGTGCAGTGGTTTTACACAGAGTAGCCCCGATCCTCCTCTTTTGCAGGTTCCCTGCCGGCTCTCCTGGTCCCTCCAAGCAGCTTGCTATGGGGGCACCCAAGGAGGCACGTGTTAGAAAGTATCAAAGCTGCTTTTTTTTTTTTTAATTATGTCTTTTATAAAATGTTTCATGACAAAAACACAACAAAATGTCATTTATATTCAGAATGCAAACTTTTCGCCTAAATTTCCCATTCCCACCTCCCCGTTTCTGGCTACATCACCCAACCCCCCCTTACAACTTACCCCGGTCCATATACCTCTTCCCATCTCTTACAAACAATCCAGTCCATACCTATAACCTTTCTCCTCAATCCTTACTTCCAACTCTTCCTTTTCTTACTATGCTTTCTTTCCTTCCAACCTTTCTTTTCCCTTTTCCTATTTCTACTACAGCCGTACAAAATATTCCCTTCAAAAGTGCCAATGCTTCTGATGTGTATGAGCCCTAAAGGTTCATTTATGAATGTGATGCTATCTGAAGGGTAATCTTCAGAGAATCACTCTTCAGAGGGCTTTTTAAAGGTGGTGAATAAGAAAAACTTAGCTCTCTGCAAGGGCACACAGAAAAGAATGTTTTTGTTTGTGCTCTGTTCAATCTTCCCTGTAGCTGTCACCTACATTGCAGCGGTGTGTGGAAATCATGCAATATTGCTGCATTTTTCTGCACCGCTCCCAAGGTGAACTGTGCGAAAACACCCGCAGCTGGGAGAATCTGATAGTGGGGTCATCGGTGTAGCGGGAGGACCATTCTCTACGTATGGCTCTCTTTTTTGTAATTGCCCCATCCCCCCCTTCCATTGCACCGATCACCCCTGACTGTCAATTCCTCCTGCTGCCTAGGCTTGCTGTGCACTCCCCTGGTCCCCCCTGCAGTGCTGCCAGTTTGCTTCCTCCCCTCTCCCCCTGCCTGCTGCAGGGGGGGGTGTTGGGACAGAGAACGGGGAAGGGGTTGATAAATATGTAATTTACTGCCCCCTTCCTTGTCTGCATGAACATGTAGAGTGATGCGTACTGGTCGCTCACTCTGTTCATTCATAAGTGAAGCATACTAATCTGTTTACTATGCTTCCATTTATAAACGAACAGGAGCTTCATTTATAAAGGGACTGGGGAATGTGTTCTGAGTCCCTTTCTCTGCCCCCCCCCCCCCTTCACAAAAAACAACTAAAAAAAATAATAATGTAACAGTTTAAGAAAATAAATTAAAATGTGTAAAAAAAAAAAAAAAAAAAAAAAGAAACTAAACTGTAAAAAACCATTGAAAAAGAGAAAAAATAATAAATGCAATCTCTGCCCACACACCTAAAGCATTGTGAAAAAAAAGTAAAAAGAAAATATTTATATAAAATAAATGACAAATGTGCAAAAAAAAAAATATTTGTAAAAAAAAAAAAAAAAATGTGAAGTGAGCAGTTTGTGTGTCTGGAGTCGCCTGTTGCTCTATAGGGGACGCAGCAGCTGTATGAACACAGCTGCAGGTCCTAATCTGACAGGTGTGTGTGGCCCCCGAATGCACAGTGTTTGGGGCTGTACACGTGCATCCACACATCTGTTAAATTAGGACCTGCATCAGTGTTCATATAATAGGAAGAAGGGTCAGCCGTACACCGGAGGATAGATGAATGTAGTGTGTATTTATTGATCCATAGGACACACAAACCACCAGGACATGCATACAGGACCTGTTAATGCATTTCACACGATCTCATGCTTAATCATTATGATTAATGATTATTATGATTAAGTACAAGATCGTGTGAAACGCGTTAACAGGTCCTGTATTCATGTCCTGGTGTTTTGTGTGTCCTATGGATCAATAAATACACGCTATATTCATCTATCCTCCGGTGTGCGGCTGACCCCTAATCCTGTTGCATGGTGTGTGGTGGCGAGCCAGAGCCTGCACCTGTTGTGGATTGATCTGGATTGTTTACTTGAGCTGTATATCTCTGTTCTTTGGATTCAGTGTTCATATAGTTGCTGCATCCCCACAGCATAACATAGGATTCCTCCACACAGCTCCTGCTACATTAAAATAAATTGGTTCATGTTGTACAGGCCACAGTACCCATGTGAATGAGCCCCAAGACCTCATTCACACACAGAGCTTTGTTTTTTACCTCCGTACTGTTTATATCGTTTAGATTTAGCAGGAATTGTGTAAGTTGTGTCCACTAATAATGATTGTATTGAATTTTTTTTGTGAAAAGGAAATGATGACACAGGAAATAGCTTGCAGAAATAAAAGCATCTAAGTGCAATATGAGTTTATAAAATGTGCATAAAAGCACAGGTAAACGCACGTGATTCCATATAAGTTTTTATCTGCATTTTTAAATAGCACAGTCAGCAGGATGAACGAAAAAGGAACAGATTCCTCCATCCACACATTCGCGGTCAGTAGAGGAATCCTCCCTGCTTAGACAGTGGGGGTGATTTACTAAAAATGGAGGTGGAGCTGTGCATAGAAAACATTCAGCTTCCAGGTTTTAATATCAAAGCTTTAAATGACCAACCTGAAGTTAGAAGCTGATTGGCTACTGTGCACAGCTGCACCAGATTCTGAGGGCTCTAGTTTTAGTAAATCCTCCCTATTGTATTCTGACAGTAGCAGTGGCAGAATACACTGATCAGTGGCTGCAGTCATTGATCGAGAACTAGCTTGTTCTCTGGAAGCCAATCATTAGATCAACTTCTGTTGAGCGGGAGCTGCCACACATAGATCAAATTTTGGCTGATCCCAGCTAAACCGGCTGTATTTGAATCCATCTATGGGCAGCTTTAACAAGTATTTAACCCTTGAAGTGCAGTGTAATTTCCATAGTTGTGCTTTGATTAGCCAGGTCTGGTCAAAGAGAAGTATAGCATTTGCAAAAAAAAACCCCAATATATACTCGCTTAGGTGGATGCAGCATCGATCCAATGTGCATCTGTTCCCCGCCACCTCTGCATTGAGAACTGAGCGATCAAAGACCATTGATGGGTCAGTTCTCCCCTCTGCTCTGAACACAGAGCCCTGACTGTCAGTCATCAGCTCTCTGTTCCGCCCCTCCAGGGCTCATTGCAGCACTGGTCTGTGGAGGGGGTGGCTCAGCCTCCTAGCAGCGCTGCGGAGTGGCTGACCAGTGCTGGTCCTGGCAACTGGGTGGTTCTCAAATGTAAATATGGGATTTTTCCCGAGCCTGGACCAGCTGAGTAACATTAACTGATAATGGGCTTTAGCCTCCCGTTGTCTGAAAATGGATCACAGGAGTGCAGAACGAATGGCACTTCTGTGATCCATAGGAGATGTATAGCCGAAAAAGCTTTGGCCATACTTCTTTCATTCTGTTTTCTAAATAATTCCAGAGGAAAAAGGGACATCCCAAAAGTGGTTGCAAACTCCCATCTGAGATAGTGCAAAAAAATGTTTTTACAGGAAATCTTGCACTGTTGCCCTTGAGAGTTATTGGAAGCAACAGGGTGACATTTCCATAAAACATGACTTTTGTAGCTGATTTGGGTGAACTGGTCCTTGAATTAAGTAAATATGCCACTCTCTGTTTTGGGTAGATTTAATTACTGACAGGGATATGACATGAGTAATTCCATTGTTTAAAGTGACAACTAGGAACTGTCTGAAGCCAATCCAATTTTTCCCTCTTGTTTTTGTCACCATCATTACTGTTTGTATTACTGACAAGTTACATTGCTAAAGAATTTCTTCATAAGCTGAACTTTCGCAAGACTACAAAGCATTTGCTGATGTGAGCCATTTAGTGGGATGCAGGAA